TGGATTTGATTAAAGACTAGATAAACTCTGTATTTCTGTATCCGCCATTCCTGTTGATCATCTTTTTAATGGTTTAATCAAAAGCGTTGACCACTAAACGAGCAGTATATCTGATGGTAGTATAGTAAGGATTCCCACACATGGACACTAGAAGCACCAGAGACTTGCTAAGTCTCGTACTTACTCTTGTTGCCAACCACTGAGAGCAGAAGTAACCTCACTCATTGGACGAAACTCAGAACTAAGAACACCCACTTCACTACACGGCTGGAACACAAATCTATCTATTCTATATTATATCCTACGCTTTTATGTCCTCTGCTCACGTAAGCTTAAAACATTTTTTTTATGTAAAAAGATGGCAAGTATCTCACTCCACGGCGGTTCACCAGTGTTAAGTAATAACCGCCACACAAAGACATTCGCAAGACCCATGGGATTGCAAATGCATTGCCACCTTTTAAGTGGGCTCGGTTACTTCACTTATCAGACGAAACAAAGAAGTATAACATCCAATTCATGCTGTTCTTCTGAGAGGTCGTGATATTTCCCCTTCGGACGGACCTGCCCTTTCGTGCATCAGCGAAGGCTGTTGCGTGGCTCTCACCGTTAAACCGTGCATAAATTTCAGGTAATACAAAATAAATTCATTGGCTCTGACCGGTGCTAGTTGGTATCAACGCAATCAATCCTGCATAGCCATTACAGACTTAGGACACTACGCGAACAATTTAAAGACTTAAGTAAACGGTTCATCGAAAGATCTGATTACCATTCTCATCCTTCGTGGTAAAGGCAGCGAATTAACAATTGATATCAAGCCTCTGGGAGCGGGCTATCACACGAGTGCTGAATTGATAAAGTTTTAATAGTCCATGGACTGAATGGAAAAACTATCTAGATTGCCCTGGTCACAAGTCACCTTTGTCAAGTTACAACGAAAATGTTTTGTAACAATAAATCGTTAACTAACAGAACGATTTATAATAAAGGTGCAAATTATACTAATGGCAGTATTCATCATTAAATCTTATGTGTTGAGGGGACTCCTGGAAAGGACAGTTGGTGCGAGTGGCTGAGTTTTGCCAAGAAAAAAATGTAAAGGCAAATAAATGCTAACAGTGGTATGACGTATCTGAGGCGGACATTAAGATTGTGTAGTTATGCCATTTGCTGCAGAAATAACTTTCCGTGGAGTGACAAAGAGTACTTTTTAAACTAAACCACTTTAACTGTGGTAGGACCACGCAACAGTATTATTTACTCGGTTTATTCCTACAGGTGACAAATTCATACATCGTGTTAACTGGGCCATGCCAAAGTGTTCACTATTGCACGAATGGGCAGGGCAGTCCGGTTTTGTACCACGGCCTCACAGAAGACCGGCGTAAAGTAGGAGTGTTACACTTCTGCGTTTCGTCTGGTGAGTGTGGTAGCCGGGGCATACTTTTTTTAAAGTTGGCAAGACATCTGCAACTGGTGTTGAAAATGTCCGTGGGCGGCGGTCATCACTTAACATCAGGTGAACCACCAGCTCGTTTGTCACTTTCTTATATTAAAAAAAACTTAGTTAAATCCTCGGTTTACTATTGTGGTTGGATACAATAGACCGGTCCAAGGTCGGGTATTAATTAAATCATTCAAATAGGAATATCTGAGCTGCGGCTAGCGTTCTTAGTACCCCGAGGAGTAAGTACGCTAATGCTGGATTCGTAGAATATTCTAATTATGCTTAAATAGCTGTGATAGCTCAGAATCCGGGTCCTTGCTTTTAGTTTAGTATATACGAGCAATCTGAGTTCAAATCAATATACTCCTTATTTTTAGTGCTAGTTTATGACGTATTGAGCAAACCTGCATAGTATCGAAATAACTAGTACTAATCCCTACTAATATTACGTGCGTCACAGTCAAAGCTATTAGAATACAATAAAACGGCTTAATGTAGAAAGTTGCCAACACTTTCATTTTTGTTCAAAGTGATGTCTATTTCTCTCTATACATCCTCGCATTCGATGGTACCACTGAGAAGAGAAATTGGCAATTCTTTCTTAGAAGTCTCTTCTACGGCATTGTCGAACACAGTCACCGCATCTACAGGCCTCGTAAAGCAAATAACTTGCAAGTTCTTTGATTCTTGGGAATAAATGAACGTCGCAGGGTGCAAGGTCGGGACTACTTGGTATAATGAGTTACCAAGTAGTCCCGACCTACGACAACTGTCATAGTCAAATATTCAATTCTTCGTTTCGCGGAGTGCGCCGAAGCGTTGTTATGTTGAAGGAGGATCCTGCTTCCAGGGCGCTGTTGTCGAACATTTTCCTAGACAACCGGTAAACAACAGTCCACATATCTGCGGTAACATTCGCACTTTAATTAATTCTGAGGAGTAACAAGACTTGGAATTGCCGCCGATTCACAAAAACAAATCTTTACATATAATAAAAATCTAACCGATCGTTGTCTGTACATGGAAGATAATTGAGAAAATCTATTTTTTGGGGCCTTTATCAACGGAGTAGAATCCAAAACAATGATTGTTAAAAAAAAACCGTTAATCTGTTTGTCCCGTTCGTTTCACGGTCTTATGCTGCTACACAGACCTTCATTTATTGTTATTATTTTGTTTGTTTTTTTTTTGTTATATTTACATTTAAGTTTTTCTAATATTATTGTGTTAAGTTTTTCTAATATTTTATTTAATATATTGTGTAGTGAAATTATTATTTTTAAGTTTTGTATGTATCCTTTGTGCTTAGACCGTGAATAAACGTTTCTTCTTCTTCTTCTTCTGTGCGTTTGTGTGCGCTAATCTCAGAATCGTACAGAAAGGTTCACCGATTTGGTTGCAACTTTCACTAATGAATTGTAGTAGCGTTCACTTAACTTTTAATGTTAGATTAATTTAAATCGGCTCATAAATATAACAGTAATATCAAATTAAAAAAAACCACATTGAATATTTGTGCGATAAAATGCTATGGAATAGCTTAATATCTACAAAAAGTGACAAATAATGCAGTATATCACATTAGGTCACCAAGTTCTATATTCAAAATTTAAAAAAAGTTTTCATTGGAACTGTTTCCAACTGGCCCGTTTTAAAAACTTTCGCGAAAAAAGGCATGAAGAGGTTGAAGTCGAATATAAAACCATGAAACTTTGTATTTAGGCATTTGTTAAAAATTAAAAAAATATTTGTTCTAACATTTTTGTACTTTCATTCTGTGTGGACATAAGTTCGTATGGAATTACAAACAGAGTTAATGTTTCATACCCAAACCCGTTACCGATTTGATAAAATTTGGTACAAAAATAGACTAGAGTTAGAGAAAAGACATAAGTTGCCTTTTGTTTAAAAACCGGCCGAATGTGAGTCGCACTCGCGCACGAAGGGTTCCCACCGTCTATAAAAACGGCAGAAAAAACTTTGCTTTTTTTTGTATGGGACTTACAATTTTTTTTTATTATATCTTTTAGTATTGGTTGTTATAAGTTCGTCATTAAGATAATAGAATTTTTGTATTTCGGGGCTTGATTAAAAGTAACTAGACGGTTATTAAGTAAGTTAAGTTGCCAAAAGAATGGTTAAACTGTCTGAATTGATCAGAATGATCTTTTTATAATCAGAATGATTAATTCAATGAGTTTATAGATACCATCCTTTTGGCAACTCAAATTACATTTGAAAAGCCATTTGACAGCTGATTAGTTAACTTCTACGATGATCAGTGTTTCAGAAACCGGGCGTTACTCTTTATATTTGATTTTATTTAATATTAGTTTGCGGATATTGGTGTTGGTTATACGTTTAGTAAAATATTCAAATAAAATTTTATAAATTTAATTCAATAAATTATAATTCAAATTCTATGTTTTCTTTATAATTGTTAATGTATAACTGTTTTATGCTCCAATAAATTAAATAATAATAAAAAACGAACGAAAAAGGAAAGAGACTGATGAACTTTTACTTTAAGAAAAAGTCTTAGATGAACATGGTGATTTCCAAAAGGACAGTATAAAAATCTACTCTGGACCAAATTAAATACCGTTCAAAGTAGTTATGATTCATTGATAAAAACCAAAGCCATTTACCGAATTAAGATTCGCATTTCTCATTTAACATACATAATAATATCAAATAATTAAATAATCTATCACTATAATTACATATACGAGTATCGGCTTGATCAATTTTTATGAATTTTTTATGTATATTTGGTAGGTCTGAAAATCGGTCTTTTTTATACCCCAAATGATAATGGCGGTCCACCCCAAACATTTAAAAAAACATTGTATATTTTACTTTTTACATTTAAAAAATATCTAAAGTAAAATATTGTTATTATGTGTTGAATGGAATAAAAGGCTTTTTTATTTTTATTTTTTATTATTCATATTTATTATTAGTATTGGTAACATAGAAGTAAAAAGACTCGAGACATGTTTCATTGACGAGTCAATTTTGAACTTGCTGAATAATTGTTTTCTGGAGATAAAACAATTAATCAGTAAGTTTTTGAATATTTGGTGACTTTCAGTAACAGCTGTAAGTCATCAAATATTCAAAGTTAAAAATTAAAAATATTCAGTCTTCTTGAAAGTCTGAAGGTAGTTTGCTATCGTCTTATAATTACGGTTTAAAGTGTTTTAAGTATAGGTAAAGACAGATTTTTTTTAGCTTGGGTTAGATTTTCTATTTTAATGAGTGAAGTTATTATGTTATTATTATCCTATTCTACACGATTTACATACCAGAATACATTTATATATATAAAGAAAGAAGCTTATATTTGAGCTGGAATATAATCATTGCATTTAACAAGATTGAAATTTATTTTATCTATGAAACACACATTATAAAAATGATTGACACATTTAGATTTAAACAGGATTAATCTATCGTACTATCTGTTATAGCAGTCATAATAGTAAAAAACTTGTTATTATAATGCATATCATTCAAGATGTTGTTGGCGTGCCCTTGGGGAAGCCTATGTCCAGCAGTGGACTGCAAAAGGCTGATTGGAAGCTGTTGTTGGAGTTTCATTATTCGGTAAAACGGTCCCCACTTGAGCAGGTTGAATCTTTGAATTGCGTCTCGCCAAGGAAATCTTGAAGTAGATCAGGTAAACGATGTTCATCACTGAAACACAAAGTTGATTAAACTTATTGGTCATTTACCATACAAAAATCTGCCTTTTTCAGTGTTTTTGCCAGTTACCTTATTAATTGTATAACTCAATGTAGTTTTAACTTTATTAAAGGACGATTTTATTTTAATAATTAAGTACTCTGCTTTGGCTAGTGTACCTTTTAAAACATTTTGCATAATTCCTAACATACTGTAACTGGTGATTTCATCACTTTATCTAAATTGTTATTTTTCTGAAGACTAGGCTGCATGTTCTATAAACGTTTGCCTTTTCGAAAGGAATTGATAATTTCTTACTACCGTATCGTTATCATTAAATCGTATGGCCTATCTCTTCTCTTTCTAATATTTAATATAATATAGAATTCCCTTTGTTGCCCTTTCGGTAAAGTATAGGTCATTGCCTTAAGTTGCGGTTTTACATTATTGGTCATTTACAATAGTTCTTTTTTAACGCTACAAGAAAACGCTACTTCAACGTCGACTGCTTTGAATATGAGAGAAAGTAAGGTACGGGCTATACTGGTTAATAATAAAGTTTTTGAGCCGTGATAGCTCATTGTCCGGGCGCTCTTTTACATTTCGATATACTAAGCAACTTGAGTTCGATCTCCGGTGCTGGCTCCAATGAAATGGTCAATTTTAAGTTCTGATTTATTATGTGATGAAAAAGTATAAAAAGTAAAGTAACAGCCTATAAATGTCCCACTGCTGGGCAACTCTTTGATTATTCTGATCATAAAGAAGATCATTCTGATGAATTCAGAGAGTTTAACCATCCTTTTGGTACCTAAAATGAAATTTGAAATCCATTTGACAGCTGATTAGTTGACATCTACGATGATCAGTGTTTCAGAAACCGGGCGTTATTGAGTCCCATAATGATTTGCGATCACCCCTTATAACGATATTAACATTTAGGAAATCGGATTATTGATTGATGCACGACACTGGATCTCGAGCCCGGGACTTCGTGGAGCGAGTCGACATTTGAGCTTCTGGGTCACCGTGCAATTTATGCATTAATAATGTCTTATATGATATTAGGATGAATCCTAACATCAAGGGTTAACTATATCAGCAAGACGATGTAATTCCGATGTAAAAAAATGTTCTTACAAACACTTAGCCCCCGTTGCAGAGGAACAGCTGGGTCCGCGTCGAACGGGAGTCCATACAGGAAGTTAAAGGAGATGGACGTCACCAACGTTAAGGCAGAACATAGTAAGTAGACCTTGAGGAGCTGGCGATTCTGGCGACTCTGAAACTGAATTGAATCATCTTTCAAATACACTCTCAAATACACTCTTCGGGCGATAATGGCCAAAGCTGTTGGCTTCTTCGGTTGGAGATGACCTTCCATTAATTTATTTATGGATAAAATCTTTTCCACGGTTTCCAGATTCGCAGTTCACGTAGGTGTCACGGCTAGAGCGGGAGAAAGTATCAAACGAGCTGGCGGTTCACCTGATGTTAAGCGATAACTGCCGCCCATGAAAATTTGCAACGCCCGTAGGGTTGCAAATGCGTTGCCACCTTTAAGTGGGCCCGGCTACCTCACTCACCAGACGAAACGCAGAACACTTCTACTTTACGCCGGTCTTCTGTGAGATCGTGGTATTTACCCGGACGGACTTAATTATATCGTTCGGACCATATGTGGCAAAACTTTAAAATCTGGTATTGAATTGACATATTTGATATGTATCTGAATTCTGTGGAAAATGTCTTGTAGTTTCACAATGTACATTAAGAAACGCATTTGCTTCTCTATAATTTTCTTTTATAACATTGCCATTTATATTTAATGTAAAATCTGCCTTTATCAGTATTTTTGCCAGTTACCTTATTTATTATATTCCATGTAGTTTTAACTCTACTAAAGGACGATTTTACTTTATTACTTAAGTTGTCTGCTTTAGCTAATGTACAGATCCTTTTAAAACATTTTGCATAATTCCTAACATATTCATCAAAGGAATAGGAGCTCATGATAATTTCTTACTACCATATCTTTATCGTATGGCCTATCTCTGCTCTGTCTATAAATATTTTATATAATATTTAATTCCCTTAGTTGCCCTGTCGCTAAAGTACCTATAGTTCATTGTCTTAAATTACGGGTTTTCTTTTAGGAATTTGAGTTTTTTTTGGGTTAATTTTAACAAATATAACATGTGTTTAATGCTATTTCTAAGATTCTTAATTCTGTTTTTAGTTACAAGCCTACGTTCATTGATAAAAACACAAGCTTTTCGCCCGTGGCTAAGCCCGCATTGTAGCCCTCAAATAAATCTCTTTTTAATTTTTTTTTAAAAGATCCTGTTTACTTTTTAATTACCTCTAAGAGGATCTGTACAAAGTTTCATGATAATCGTTTGAGTGCTTTTGGCGTGAAAGCGTAAAAAACAAACTTACATTCACATTTATAACATTAAGTAGGGATTGTCACTGTTCGTTAGATCAGACCGTAAAGCCTTAAAATTATTAATTTTAAGGCTTTACGGTCTGATCTAACGCCGTTCAATATTACATGCTCAACGATTTTACAATTTACTGTAATATTATCTATGCTAGAGACACAGAATGGGGCTACTCTTAGTGGTTAATTGAAGTGGATTTTTATGGTTTTTCTTCCGGACAGCAACAGTAACTTATTGTTTCTGCTAGCCCACCTGGAACAAGTCGGCGAGCACCTTGGTCGACCATATCATCATAAAGCCACTGCAGAGGCCACATAACAAAATTGACATTGTGAATTTGGCAAATTGATCCCTCCGATCAAGTGCACAGCACTGTATGAGTATCAACACCATACCGATTAGCTGACTGAACTGCAATAAGAGAAAATGGATTATATATTATTTAACTAGATTAGTCTAACTTGTTGAGATGGTTTTCAAGTGAAGAGTTGACCTCCAAGAGCATCCTCTTCAAGGTTAAAAACGTTCACGTAACTTATTTACTACACTGTTGCATAAGATACGCTCAACGTGAAAACCTCTTTCAAAGGAAGGCCACGGTATTGTTCGGGACACTGAATTGGGGTCCTAGAGTGGAGTTAAGGTTGCTCTTTCTGTCGTATATGGTGACTAAAATGGCCGGTGACCTGGGGCCTTAATCGTCTACTTCAATGGACCAATAAGGGTTCACGCAACACGAAGAGGTTCTGTCTTGCTGCAAGGCAGTGAATGAACGGAACTGGGTAAATACTTCCCACCACCGCAGTGTTCCGTCGTGGATTCCGGAACCCATCCCAACGAAATAATCATGATAGGTGGTTTTCCGATATCAAGAAAATGCAAAAGTACACGTATAAACAGATGTGTTATACAGCATGATTAAAAAGGGTAATAGGTAAGTTAGTGAAGAAAGACGTAAGATTTAACTCTTTTGGTGATGTGGGTTCAATTGCAACAGCGCTATAGCTTTTTGTCCTTTTTTCTACAAATTTCAAGTTAAGTTCATCATTTTAGTGGGCAGTTTCATCACTTTCTGTGGCATTTTATAGGTAAGAATATGATCAGGTTATGAACGAAAAAGTGTTATTTCTAAAGTTTTGATTAAATATATTATGTTAAGAATTTACTCATTTACATTGAAGCTGAACCGGGCCACGCTGTCCTGTGTTTTTTTCTCGTTTCCGTCGGAACTACGGAATAAACATTAGATAAATGGAATCCTTACCGACAAAATGGAAGTCGTCAACATACATAACGAATTTAATATCCCGTTCCAATATTTCTCCTCGACGCACTTAATAGTTTGTTTTCTGAAACAAATTAATGAAAATGAACAAATTAATGAAAAAATTAAAAAAATATATTTTTCGTGTTCATAAAAGGTTAATTTTTATTTTTTTTAATGAAAATATTTAATTTTTCATTAAAAATTTTAATACATACAATATAAAACTTGTTAAACATATGAAATAATGAAAAGTTTGTTTATTATCAGATCAGATTCTGATAGATTGTTCTCCAACTGTTGCATTCTACGTTCAAAAAATACATATTCTGTTGTAATTATTTATAGAAATAAAAAATCAACAAAAATTAAATGGTAAAAAAAAATATTTACAAAAAAGAATATCACCAAAAAATTTAACAAAGAAATATAGGGATTTGAACCCGATCCCTATAGAATGATGGTCCACTGTATGTATAGGACTGATAAACCATATCAATCACAAGATAACATATTGAAATTACGCTTTAGTTGTTAATACATACAAATAATTTAAAATACGAAATATGTGAATATTTGTTTTTAATTTCGTGTTTTCGAAAGATCTAATAAAATTAAATAAATAAGGAACATATTTCGTAACGGTGAACGGAGGACGAGCGGCATAGCTCCTTCAAGCAACGCGCCTCAGCGCTCTTTGTTCAACGTGTGGAATTGGAAGAGAACCGAAACAACGCCGCGGTGGTGCGGTGTTTTGGCCGTCGCGTTCGAATTAATTTTAATTAATTAAATTAATATTTACAAATATCTTACTTCAATCAACAAATTAAGACAAAAATCCTTGTTATTAAAATATTCTACATCACTGATATTAATTTCAATAAGAGTTGTATTACGTTCATTTTTTATTTGAATTTCTCTTTTAGAGGTATTTTCATGATTTTTTTCTATCGAGAAATATATCGAGAATATGTTTTGAAAACAATGCTCCATTAGAATGTAAGATCAAGATTATCATAAATTTTTTTGCTGTGTGTATAGATTGTGCTAAATTTTTTTTTAAAAACCTATATTTACTGCATACAGCGCCTTAAGGCTCTGTTCGCACCAATAATGCGTCTGATTTTTCGCACTTAATTAATTTGCTTCTCTTAATTTCCCTTTATACAATGAACTATATATAAGAACTATTATACAATATGACTAGACATCTTTAAACCGTGAAAATGACTAATTCTTTATTGAAAAAAAAGTTAAATCGCGCTTGCGCTTTACAACATCCGCTCCAATTAGTTTCCAAATTTTACCCTATACTCCACCAGCACCAGCAATGCTGTTTCTATACATCTCAAGGTATTGACAAATAACATCGCAGAAGCTTTTACTTAACAATTAACTATTAACAATCGCTCAATCGCAAATAGCGTAGCCATCATTGATTTAATCACTTACTGTTGCATTGTGTCCGGCAGACGTTTTCACGGCAGGAGTACACCACTGAATGGCTGGTGCCTGGCGATTCTGCGCCGGGCGTTCGAGAAAAGCGCTAACGATGAATAGTGATGCGACATAAAAAGCAGTGACAGCGTAAAATGAAGCGAAAATAACGACCTTTTAGTAACTTGGATTTGTTAGAAACTTGAATTGATTGCTAGTTGACGAATGGTTCACTCATTCACTAGAGACGTGTATTGATATAATTTAGACAAAATAACAAACTACGAAGCTATCGGAGATCGAGATAATAATTAGGAAAAGTTCCATATAAACACTTTAAATGATAAGAAACATAATTTGACTTAAGTGAGAAATTTAAATGGGTCCGTTTCGGATAAAACCCTTTCGAAAAAAAGAAAGTATAAAGCGGGTTATAAACCCACAATAATACTTCTAGTTTCTAGCAATCACTCTTTTTTCTCCAGAAAAATCAATTATCTATAACGACAAACCTCTATACATTATTCTACAATAAAAAATCACTGTTAAAACTCCAACTGTTAAAGAGTTGTACTTCCTTCATCAGCTCAGCGTCATGAGATGATGATGACCATACGTAAATGTCTCAATAGCTTTAGAAATTATATGAAAACCATTGTTAATACCTATAACATTTGAGGTTTGCCCTCGATTTTTCTGGGATTCCATCATCAGACCCAGACTTGGTGCCAATGGTGGTCCCATTTGCACCAAGTCTGGGTCTGAACATACATAAGAGACTGATGAACTTTTCGTTTGAAAATTGTCAATTATCAACACATACTTTAAGAAAAAGTCTTAGATGAGCATGGTGATTTCCAAAAGGACAGTATAAAAATGTACACCGGACAAAATTAAATACCGTTCAAAGTAGTTATGATTCATTGATAAAAACCAAAAGCCATTAACCGACTTAAGGTTCGCATTTCGCAACATAAATAATAATTTCAAAACGTAAATAATCCAGTTATCAATCAATATATTATGTTATATACGAGTATCGGCTTGATCGTTTTTTATGAATTTTTTATGTATATTTGGTAGGTCTGAGAATCGGTCTTTTTTATACCCCAAATGATAAGGGCGGTCCACCCCAAACATTTAAAAAAAAACATTATATATTTTACTTTTTACATTTAAAAAACATCTAAAGTAAAATATTGTTATTATGTGTTGAATAGAATAAAAGGCTTTTTTATTTTCATTTTTTTTATTCATATTTATTATTAGTATTGGTAACATAAAAGTAAAAAGACTCGAGACATGTTTCATTGACGAGTCAATTTTGAACTTACTGATTAAGATAAAACAATTAATCAGTAAGTTCTTGAATATTTGGTGACTTTCAGTAACAGCTGTAAGTCATCAAATATTCAAAGTTAAAAAAATTAAAAATATTCAGTCGTTAGAAGTTAATTAAAAATATTCAGTCTGTTAATTTAGAAGGTAGTTTGCTATCTTCTAATGATTACGGTTTAAAGTGTTTTAAGTGTGAGTAAAGACAGAATTTTTTTTAGCTGGGGTTAGATTTTCTATTTTAATAAATGAGTGAGGTTACTATGCTATTTTCATATTATTTTATCCTATTCTACACGATTTAAGAAAGAGCAGAGAAAGAGAAACCTAGCTCAAGTATGAGCTTCTTTAAAGAAAGAAGCTCATACTTGAGCTAGGTTAGTGAAATGTCGTAACTCGAGGGGCATATGAATATTGCATTTAACAAGATTGAAATTTATTTTATCAATGAAACACACATTATAAAAATTATTGACACATTTAGATTTAAACAGGATTAATCTATCGTACTATCTGTTATAGCAGTCATAATAGTAAAAAACTTGTTATTATAATGCATATCATTCAAGCTGTTGTTGGCGTGCCCTTGGGGAAGCCTATGTCCAGCAGTGGACTGCAAAAGGCTGATTGGAAGCTGTTGTTGGAGTTTCATTATTCGGTAAAACGGTTCCCACTTGAGCAGGTTGAATCTTTGAACTTGCGTCTCGCCAAGGAAATCTTGAAGTAGATCAGGTAAACGATGTTCATCACTGAAACACAAAGTTGATTAAACTTATTGGTCATTTACCATACAAAAATCTGCCTTTTTCAGTGTTTTTGCCAGTTACCTTATTAATTATATAACTCAATGTAGTTTTAACTTTATTAAAGGACGATTTTATTTTAATAATTAAGTAGTCTGCTTTGGCTAGTGTACCTTTTAAAAAATTTTGCATAATTCCTAACATACTGTAACTGGTGATTTCATCACTTTATCTAAATTGTTATTTTTCTGAAGACTAGGCTGCATGTTCTATAAACCTTTGCCTTTTCGAAAGGAATTGATAATTTCTTACTACCGTATCGTTATCATTAAATCGTATGGCCTATCTCTTCTCTTTCTAATATTTAATATAATATAGAATTCCCTTTGTTGCCCTTTCGGTAAAGTATAGGTCATTGCCTTAAGTTACGGTTTTACATTATTGGTCATTTACAATAGTTCTTTTTTAACGCTACAAGAAAACGCCACTTCAACGTCGACTGCTTTGAATATGAGAGAAAGTAAGGTACGGGCTATACTGGTTAATAATAAAGTTTTTGAGCCGTGATAGCTCATTGTCCGGGCGCTCTTTTACATTTCGATATACTAAGCAACTTGAGTTCGATCTCCGGTGCTGGCTCCAATGAAATGGTCAATTTTAAGTTCTGATTTATTATGTGATGAAAAAGTATAAAAAGTAAAGTAACAGCCTATAAATGTCCCACTGCTGGGCAACTCTTTGATTATTCTGATCATAAAGAAGATCATTCTGATGAATTCAGAGAGTTTAACCATCCTTTTGGTACCTAAAATGAAATTTGAAATCCATTTGACAGCTGATTAGTTGACATCTACGATGATCAGTGTTTCAGAAACCGGGCGTTATTGAGTCCCATAATGATTTGCGATCACCCCTTATAACGATATTAACATTTAGGAAATCGGATTATTGATTGATGCACGACACTGGATCTCGAGCCCGGGACTTCGTGGAGCGAGTCGACATTTGAGCTTCTGGGTCACCGTGCAATTTATGCATTAATAATGTCTTATATGATATTAGGATGAATCCTAACATCAAGGGTTAACTATATCAGCAAGACGATGTAATTCCGATGTAAAAAAATGTTCTTACAAACACTTAGCCCCCGTTGCAGAGGAACAGCTGGGTCCGCGTCGAACGGGAGTCCATACAGGAAGTTAAAGGAGATGGACGTCACCAACGTTAAGGCAGAACATAGTAAGTAGACCTTGAGGAGCTGGCGATTCTGGCGACTCTGAAACTGAATTGAATCATCTTTCAAATACACTCTCAAATACACTCTTCGGGCGATAATGGCCAAAGCTGTTGGCTTCTTCGGTTGGAGATGACCTTCCATTAATTTATTTATGGATAAAATCTTTTATGGGTCCACGGTTTCCAGATTCGCAGTTCACGTAGGTGTCACGGCTAGAGCGGGAGAAAGTAGCAAACGAGCTGGCGGTTCACCTGATGTTAAGTGATAACTGCCGCCCATGAAAATTTGCAACGCCCGTAGGGTTGCAAATGCGTTGCCACCTTTAAGTGGGCCCGGCTACCTCACTCACCAGAGGAAACGCAGAACACTTCTACTTTACGCCGGTCTTCTGTGAGATCGTGGTATTTACCCGGACGGACTTAATTATATCGTTCGGACCTATGTGGCAAAACTTTAAAATCTGGTATTGAATTGACATATTTGATATGTATCTGAATTCTGTGGAAAATGTCTTGTAGTTTCACAATGTACATTAAGAAACGCATTTGCTTCTCTATAATTTTCTTTTATAACATTGCCATTTATATTTAATGTAAAATCTGCCTTTATCAGTATTTTTGCCAGTTACCTTATTTATTATATTCCATGTAGTCTTAACTCTACTAAAGGACGATTTTACTTTATTACTTAAGTTGTCTGCTTTAGCTAATGTACAGATCCTTTTAAAACATTTTGCATAATTCCTAACATATTCATCAAAGGAATAGGAGCTCATGATAATTTCTTACTACCATATCTTTATCGTATGGCCTATCTCTGCTCTGTCTATAAGTATTTTATATAATATTTAATTCCCTTAGTTGCCCTTTCGCTAAAGTACCTATAGTTCATTGTCTTAAATTACGGGTTTTCTTTTAGGAATTTGAGTTTTTTTGGGTTAATTTTAACAAATATAACATGTGTTTAATGCTATTTCTAAGATTCATAATTCTGTTTTTAGTTACAAGCCTACGTTCATTGATAAAAACACAAGCTTTTCGCCCGTGGCTAAGCCCGCATTGTAGCCCTCAAATAAATCTCTTTTTAATTTTTTTTTAAAAGATCCTGTTTACTTTTTAATTACCTCTAAGAGGATCTGTACAAAGTTTCATGATAATCGTTTGAGTGCTTTTGGCGTGAAAGCGTAAAAAACAAACTTACATTCACATTTATAACATTAAGTAGGGATTGTCACTTTACGGTCTGATCTAACGCCGTTCTATATTACATGCTCAACGATTTTACAATTTACTGTAATATTATCTATGCTAGAGACACAGAATGGGGCTACTCTTAGTGGTTAATTGAAGTGGATTTTTATGGTTTTTCTTCCGGACAGCAACAGTAACTTATTGTTTCTGCTAACCCACCTGGAACAAGTCGGCGAGCACCTTGGTCGACCATATCATCATAAAGCCACTGCAGAGGCCACATAACAAAATTGACATTGTGAATTTGGCAAATTGATCCCTCCGATCAAGTGCACAGCACTGTATGAGTATCAACACCATACCGATTAGCTGACTGAACTGCAATAAGAGAAAATGGATTATATATTATTTAACTAGATTAGTCTAACTTGTTGAGATGGTTTTCAAGTGAAGAGTTGACCTCCAAGAGCATCCTCTTCAAGGTTAAAAACGTTCACGTAACTTATTTACTACACTGT